CGGCTTAGAAGGAACTGCAATACGATCACATAAGCATAGGATGTTATTATACCATTGGGTGGGTTTTGTTCTAACCATGTTGCTGCAATAATTGTATACACTACTGATTGTAGTGTTTTATTTCTAGGCTTAGAGGGAACTACATACAGTATGTCATTTCATGTTATTACTATGATACCAAATGGGTCTGGTTCTGGCTACTGCAATTATATACAATGTAGTGTTATATTCTAGGTTTAAAAGGAAAATTAATTTTTCTTTTTTAAATTTACATTCAATTAGGTTTTTCTTGTCTATCATGGTCAACCATCGTTAAACTGTGTACAACTGTGGTGAACAATGGTTTTGAATTCTATCAAAACATTTAGATTTGACCATGATTACCTTGAACATGGTTATATCATAAACTTTAGCCATGGTCAGCCATGGTGAACACATGAAATACCAGATCATTGTCAAGCATAATTGCATATTGATGAAACATATAGCTAAAGTATTTGTGCATGTGTTGTGGTTAGTGACAAGGATTCTATTTCAGGTTTGACTTTATAATTTTTGAGTTTGATGTAGTAAAGTGTTCAAATGTGCTCATATGACATTTTACAGATGGATTTCATTTTTTTCACTGCCAGATGTATAATATAAAATGATATTCTATTTATTTATTTCATTAATTATTACATTGTGGTGATGTATTGCTATGCTGTACCTACATATATCCTAGTTATGAATGATAAATCAACTTACCATCCTCATGTGATATAACAGTCACTGAATTACTCTGTGGACTTGTAGCATCAGCATTTTTAAGCAGAGCAATTACTTCATACTCAGTGTATGGTAGTAATGATTCAGCAGTAAATGTGATAGTTTTTGTACCCGTCACAATTTCTTGGTAACCTTCTGTTTTTCCTGTCTCATAGTCATCTTCTGTACCAGTCTTCCTATACTTGACTTCAATGTAATCAATGTAACCATCCACACCATCTTTCTTACACTTTATATCACTACTATCAGGAACCTGGAATATTGAAACAATGACACATTTGAAGATGTCAATACAAATTGGATCATGTGTATGCAATGTTGAGACAAGTGAATCGCACTGTACATTTATAAAACTTAATAATACTTATTGAATAGAATGGCTGTACTTAAGGTGGAACAAATTTAAATAGTCTGTGAAACATTTATTATCCCATTATCGTCTACCTCAGTCAAAAATGTTAATTAGATGAAATCGCATTTATAACAGTCACCAACCAAAGTTGCATAAATTATATTTCTAAAATCAAATTTCTAAATACAAAATTTATGCAAATCACATAAATACGTAGACTGGAAAAAAAAAATTATTTCCTTGATTTGCTACCGGTGATAAAGTACCGGGGGTAGTTCAATGAAAACTTACTTGCACATGAACTTCAAGTTGTTTCAACTCAGGTGAAAATATTTTCTTAATAGTTGGTTTTTGTGGGACTGTAATAGAATTAAACTGCCATGTAAAATACATCAAATGATAATACACAGAATGGAATCAATACAAGGATAGCTCCAGACACTGTATATTGTATTCCTGTCCACAAGTTACAGGAAACTGTGCTATGCAATATTATATTCATATCCATCATTTGAATTTATATTGGGGCATACGTATACAATTACTTGATATTTTGGCGAAAAGGTTTGAAAACTGAAGTTTATATAATTAGAAGTACAACGAAGCAGATCAAGGAGAGAGATTAATCAATATTGTATTGTAAAAATTTGCTCAAATAAACACAATGGAATCAAATTCAAGAAGCAGGTTGCTATAAATTTGGCAGTTGAACAATTACATTAGTTTGAATATATAGCTTTGAATCTCCTTGTGATTCAGCTGTGAAAATGAATAAACTACATGGCAGATAAAATCTGATCGCTGAAAAGCAACTCAGGTAATTAATAAGCACCGATTATAATGTAAAACTACTAAGGTCTGTGCAATGTCACAGATCTATATACTATATATGAACAGTATTATGCAAATTAGGTAATTATTATGTACAGCTTTTAACCAAAAAATAACCAGGTCTGTGAATTGTTCTAAAGCATATATATACCAAGTTGTGGTTAGAACTTGAGATATCAATGGAAACTGAAAAATTATGAATTTTTATGCAAATTAGGAAGTTACTGCAAACAAATTTTAATCCAATAGAGCATCTATTCACCTAGTTTTATTGCGATGGGATGATTAGTACTTGAATTATCAGAGTAAAAGCCAAAAAATTGATACTTAAGCAAATTAGGTGATTAATATGCAAGATTTTTACCCCAAAATAATCAGGTCCGTGCATAGTCTTAGGGCATCTATGTACCAGCTATCTTTTCAATGTAATGATCAGTACAGGAAATAACAAAAATCTTAGAAATCTTAGAAAGAACTCATGTGTGCTGAAGGTATTGGGGACCTGAAGTACCAAGACTATAATATTAAAAACACATTTTTAATACACATAAAGCAAATATTTGGTTTATAACTTGCAAAATCATTGAAATATGTCTCATTTTGACCATAGACCTGTCCTTGTCATTTCTATTCACAGTAAGCACATGTGCTTATAAGAGAGCAAATACAGTATTGAAAAATAAAACTGCAAGAAATGATGAGGATTGC